ATCATCTGCTGATCCTTTCCGGTGTTACTGTGACTACTGTAGTTTTAATACCTGCATAGTTTCACCTTCAAAAGTTCCCCTGGTAAAGATGTAAAGCAGCTCCACTAGTATTCAAAGGGAGTTAAAAGGAAGGATTTCTATTTCTGCTATACGAATTTCTACCGCAAGTTTAATTTTATTGGGGGATTTTTTTTTACCCTGCGGTGTGGGCGTGGGGGGTGGGTGAAGGAGGTGATAGTTTAATTAAAGCCAGAAAGCTGAAAACTATGTGCACTATGTGTAACTATGTATAATCAAACTTTTTAACAACATTTCTTTCAACAATATTCAGCAACCAAAAGAGCTGATACTAAGCTATTTTTGATTATTCTTGCCCTTTTCATGAAGCCTGGATTTTTTTAAAAGCAAAAAGCTGTTATTTCTACTAGGCAAAACACGCTTTTCTTCAAAAACTATAATTTTTTAAAAAAAAAAAAACAATATTCCCTCAAACAAAACTACACAGACTGTCAAAAGTCAACTAGCTCTGAAACTGAGCCCTCTAATCTGGTTCGCAAAACTTTGAGCCTGGATCTTTTGTTAGTATAAACAGGCAAACTTCCCTTGAAGTCAGTTATACCGGTCCCTGTCAGCTCTGAGAATCCCACCTTTGTGATCACAGAAATGTTTAATTTGTCAAGGGGACAAGGGAGATGGAATAGCAAGTCCAGGCTGTGGCCCTATCTATATATTACTGTGTCTTACTTTTTTTGCTACTGAAGGTCCAGCTTCAAGATTGCAGATTTGTCAGTGACCAAACATGATGGACCACCCATCGGCCTTTTATTAACTAGCACTTGTTCCCCCTCTAATCCTATCACTAGAGTAATCAAAGCTGCCATGTCCCAGGGTTTGATGGAACAGCAGGACCTGGGAAATGAAGACTGATTTTGTTAACAAAGTCATTCCTGCCCGTTGAATGCTGTCTCATTGGTAGGAAGCAAGGAGACGACGTTTATTTGTGCAGAGAATGAGGCGGCAAAGAAACGAAAGGGGAAGAATGGTGAAGTGTGAAGTTTAATCTGGCATGGTCTAAGGTTTCTTTCTTTGAGGCCGTCTCTGATCCAATCAACACCGGTTTGATATTTAACATCTCCCCCTGCAGTTGAAAATGATACAGGACGGAGAAGACCAAAGTCAGGGCTTCGCAAACCCCGACCGACAGAGGGAGAGAAAAGGGGTGCCGGCGGCTCCCCTCCAGCCTAGCAGCTTCCCTCACAGACAGGTCAGGATGAAGTCAGGCCCTGACACAAAATTCCCCTCACGAACCCGGGGATTCAGGGCATTTGGCACAAGCTGAATGCAGATTATCCCTGAAAAGAACAAGCATGGGATGGGATGCGAGAGGGATTTTATTTCTAACTTGGAGGAAGGGTTATCAACATTGTCTCGGTCTGGGGATCCTGCTGAGAAACAGGATCAAACACAAGCAAGAGCCACCATCCACCTCCCCTGGGCAGAGTGGTTTGGGTAGATGAGCAAGACCTTCCCCTTGCTGACCGTACAGGCTTTTAGCGGGAACGTGATACTGCCCCAGGGCGCTCACGCCTGGGGCTGAGCGGGGGTGCGACCATAGCCCTGGGAGATCGGGGCAGACACAGACAGACCTGAGCAGCTACTGTAGGGAGTCACTATCACCATCCTCCTTATCCCAACAACAGTATTTGTCAGCCTGGGGAGAGCTTTCCACCACAGACTTGCATGAGGGTCCCTAAGAGGAGAGAAAACTTAACCCTCTCCCAAGCTTCAACAAGTCTTCACAGTTTGTCATGGTGCCAGCTGCAGTGCCTCTGCCAGGATCCCAATAAGAGAAGGTCCTGAATACCATCCTCCCACCACCAGCTCTTCTCAGTCCTGGCCCACTTGATTTTGCACTTTCCTGGCCACGCTGTAAATGAGTATCTATGCTGTCAGACAGAAAAGTTGTCTGCTTCCTCTTCTTTCTGTGTCTCTCGGCTCTCTCTGTCCCACCTTCAGTGAAAACCCTGAAACTTCGTATACCAAGGAGTAGTGAAATTTCAACCTGATCTGAATGTCCCTGTTGCCAGGCTCCCAAGCCAGCCTTTTGCTGCGATTCAGACACCTTGCCACCAGCTATGCAACACCCAGGGCCTGGACTCTGTGCGACCAGCAGCTGGCAGAGTCCCAGGGGGAGGAAGGATGCTCCCTCCACAAGCCATGCAGGAAGGCAGCTGGTCAGTGGGAAAGCAGGGCAATGGGTGCGGTGCCAGTTTGGAAAAGAGGCATGAAACACTGAGCAGAGATTTCAGGTGGAGCACAGCATCAAACTACAAAGTTTCTGGGTTTACAACAGAAAACAGTACGCCCTGCTCTACCTGCAAGAGCTGGCTCTCCGGGAAGCAGCTAATTATATGAGCCATCTTAATCTTTTCATCCGGCTAAGACAATCAACATTTCAAAGCCATGCACAGAACGTTTCAAAGATCATTCCTGGTCAAAAATGCAAGTGTATCCGCTTTCTTTCAGAGCAGATCAAAACCAAGTACCATACCGGGACCACTCCTAGATTTCCTCCTCCTCACGGTATCACATTAACAGATTTGGTGCATGTAGTCAGATTAAATATTTGCAGTAGCACAAAGCTGCCTTTGAGGGGAAGAACAAAAAAAAAAAGGCATTTTTTTCTTTTTCAATTTGCTTAAGGCAAAAATACGGGACTTCGGGGACATGGGAAACATAAGCATTGACACGATTCAGCAAGGCACAGTTTTAAAACCTGAATTCCAAATGCAGAAATGACGTGCAGTATTCCTGTAACAGTAATGCTGGAAACAGGTAAAAACTGCTGATGTCCTTAGCAGATTTGGGACTGTAATTTATCACAGATGTTCCATCAAACTGTGCAAACACCCTACAAGACAAAAGCTGCTCAATTTCTCATTTCCATTTTAGTGTGTTTTAATTACATATTGCTTAATGAAGGCTCCAAGACCTGAAATTGGAAGACAAAACCTAGCAATAGCAAACCACTCCATTAAATTAGCACAGTAATACAGCAAGCAGTAGGACTGCCAGACGGTGTGATAACATTACAAATTACTATTGTTAAACAACTAGCCAGGTGTCAGGATGCATGAAATCTAGAGGAAGCAAGAACATAAATATCTGGTTTGTTTTGTTTAATTTTGTCTCATGTTGTTCTGGTGGCCTCGTTCCCAGAAAAACCTTCAATCTAGGAAAAATCCTCCCCAATACTGATCTATTTTAGCAGCAATGTCAATGCTCTGTAATAATTAAAATGTAATATATTTTTTTAATCAGCACAAATGATTTTGTGCACAAATTATTTTTTTGCATAAATGATTGTCCTTTACTTGCCAACAGCAGTAATACCTCTGCTGTTCTTTTTTATGTTACTATTGTAGCAAAAAGAAGGCGAAATTTTTGCTTCTATTTAAAATACAGTGAACGAGAGAAAAACAGCATAATAGTAAGAGCAGCAGTGAGTTTTGTACTCTGTCCCTTTTCCTTCCTTTGTCACTCGCTCGCTCTCTAAAAAGAAAAAAATGTAATATGATTCACATTTAAAAGGCTTCCAAGTGGTACATTTTTAACCAAGTGCTTTCATGTACTTGATTATAACTGCCATTTTGACTTAATACAACCAAATGCTATGGGATGTCTGGAATGGTTAATTATTTTTACCTCACCTTAAAGAAGGGGTTCAATAGAGAGGATAGGCACTTAAACCTTTCAAACAGAACAGGGTAAAACGAATTCCTTCTTTTGCATGTGCATTAATTAATGCAAAGGTCCTGATGGGCTTTCTTTTCATTATTGTGATAAACAAGAAAACCCCTCCAAAAGCAAATGCAACAATCTCCTCTTCTTGAAGGCTGTATAAGGAGTTAGACTTCTAGCTGAAATATCTGATGAACCAATGTTAGTGAAAGCCAGACTTTTCCCTCTTAAAACAGTTCCCACTAGACTTCAGGGGAGAAGGGGGTGAAGGCACTCTAAGGACATTTTAATCACACCAAAGATCAGTCCTTTAATCCTTATTCCCACATCACCAAGAATATTTATGCTCAAACTAGGACAGTAAAATGAAGCTGGAAATAGGCTGATCAAACGCCAATGACGAAAAGCGGGTTAAAAACAAAATATCATAGCAGTAATTGACACCACCTTAAACTTCTTCTGGTTTATTTGTTTTCTTCCACAAACGTTCATTGCCTGAATTTCTACTAAATCTGATTTCATATAAACAGTTTCACAAAGCAAATAGCTTTCAATAGCTGTGACTGTGCTCCTGATTAATCCACTGAAATGAAATGGATCGCATGGCTTAGTATTTGGTTGTTTAAAGCTAAATCCACTGAAAGAATTCTGGAATTCAGTTACACCAATAACTTTTGTTTCTTAATCTACATTCTTTCCTTTTTGCTGAACTTTACCTGTTATAAAACAAAAAAAAATGCATGCAGATTGCACACTTAATTTCCCCCAGTACATGAGGGCAGCGTCAGCCAGTTTGTTTTGACCTGCAGTGACTACTGAAAAGATGACCGACAGTTTGCACGTACTTAAATCTCTTTGAACAATGTAGAAATTTCTTTTTCCATTGTTCACGCTTCATCCTCTTCCTGACAAGTACCACAGAGCTGCTTTACTTAAAAACAAACAAACAAAATAAAGCACTTTTTACCCAGCTCTGGGACAGGACGTGAGGCGTGGAAGTATCCCTCACAAGTGGCAAGCTAGTGGACACACACATTCACACCCTGGACATTTGCCTCTCAAACAAATAATACACGGTAAACGTGCAGCACGGATCGGCGCAATGGAGAATGAGCCACCTGACACACAGACTGTTGAGGCCTGCAAGTGACCCACCCCAGTGCAACACACTTGGGGCTCATCCCCATAAACCGACCAAAACACAATGAGAACGGCCCCCACCTCCTGGGACAAGCCGTGAGGCCCAGGAACCTCCTTACCTGGGAGAAGTTGAGCCCGTTCAGCGGGTGACACTGCTCCTCCACCCTCTCCACCGCACCAGTCTTCTTCTTCATCCTCTCGGCCTCCTGTGCGAGGTAGAGATCAAGCACCGGCACCCCTCTGGAGCGGATGTCCGTCTCCGTCAAGGAGTTCACCATGAGCATCACCCAGACGGGCCTCTTGCGCTCCCAGTTGCCGGCGATGGCATTGAAGAGGTAGTCGGCGTAGAGCCCTTTGCCCCGCTGGTCTGGGGTCATCCAGTGGGGCAGCATCAGCTTGATGTAGTCCAGGTGGCGTTTGAGGCGATGGTACAGCTCCCGGGGCAGAACATCCTGCAGGTTCTCCCCGTGGGGCAGCATCTGGCAGCTGGCCAGCCCCGAGATGGTGTAGGGGTCGGTGAGGTCCAGCTCAAAGTAGACACTGGAGCTGGCGTGGAAGGCAGCCTTGGAGTTGTTGGGGATGAAGTCCCACACTCGCGTGTAGGGCACGTGGATGGTGCCGAAGAGATAGGCTGGGGGGTCGCGGCGGATGGTCCAGAGGAAGGAGTTGAGCTCTCCTTGCTGCGGGGAGGACAGTGGGGGCTGCTCAGTGGCGGAGGGGCAGAGGGGCAGGAGACAGCCCGCGGTTTAATGCCACCCTCGGGGTTGCCTG